AAAAAAAAAAAAAAAAAAAAAAAAAAAAAAAAAAAAAAAAAAAAAAGGTGGATTCTCAGGAGTTATCCTTGACTTCATCCTAAACCTCAGTTAACACTATAGAACTTATATCCCTACTATGTCTGCAACCTGTTTTCTACTCTCCATTATCATTGCTACTGTTATTATTTTCACTGCTATTATTATGTACTGCTTGCCCAACTGGTACTTTGCTGCCTTCAATCTGCCCTCTTTCAAAATCACTCACTAAAATTCAATTTTATTTTTTTCTGGTAAAGTAATTTATGCTCCTATTCATGTTGTATATATTTGGCCTGTCTTTCATACCCTCATGAAACTAAGTTTTATCCTCTTTACAAGTTTCATAGGTAAAAAAAAGTGATTCTCATTGTTTTTATATTTATTTGATTTAGCGTAATAATGAACAATTTTTGATATGCTTACAGGCCATTTATATCTGTTTTAATTGTATATTGCCTATTCATATGTACCACACATTTTTCAGTTGACTTTTGAGCTTCTAAGGCTGGTTAAAATTTCTATTTTTGTTAATTCATAATAGTTTACATATTTTTGGAGTTTTTATCTTTTTTAAAGCTAATTTTTTGAGTTTTTAATATAGGAAGGATTTTAACTTTGTTAGTATATGCCTTATATATTGATTTTCTATCATTAAAAGTTATGTTTGAACAAAGACATTTTAAATGTTTATGCAAACAAGTCTATGAAACTTTACCTTTGTGATTACATTCCCTGTGTCTTTAGTGTATTTTCTCAGCTGTCAATTAACAATTCACCTATATTGTCCCTTTTTTGTGATTTTATTTTCCAGAAATTTTTCTGCTGTGCAGATATATTCTAGCATGGAGCCATGGTGATTAAAGGCATGATGACTGCTGGTTCTCTTGGATTTACCTCCTGCCATTTCTTCATACACACACACACACACACACACACACACACACACACACACAAAACCTTGTTCCGACTATATCAAACTACTCGAAATTCCCTAAAACAGTGGTCTCCAAATTGCAACTGTTTTTTATTTTTATTTACTAATTTTTCTCTATATTGTACTGTGCTAACACAAATATTAAGATTATGCTACAAGGTTCATATAAAATGTACATTGTAGAACACAAAGAAATAAATAAATTGAAGGATAGAGTTTTTTTTAATTTCTAGTATTTTCCTAACTCCAGTGTATAACCTGTCTACTCCCAGAGGTGCTTGCACATTCTCTATACCTTGAAGACCCTGCACTAAACGGCATATACTGTATAGCAGTCCTATATCTGGTTTCCACTTTAAGCCTCCCTGTTTCTCCCTTTCTGAAACATACCCATCTATTCTAATCTAAAGATTTAACTCAAACATCAACTTTTAGGAAGCTTTTTCTGACTATGGGAACCCTGGTCTGATTAGATACACTTTTTTTATATTTTCTACACCACAACATATTTTACCCTATCATCATGCTCAATACACTGCACTGTAGTTAGCTATTCCCCTCCCCAAAAGTATGGAAATTTCTTAAGAAAAGGACTCTGTCTTAGTATTCTCTATGCCACTAGAGCCTAGAACAGAGTAGATGCTCAAATAATGTTGATTTAATTCATATATGAATGGAGCCATAATAATTTGTTTGGTAACTCCTGACAGTCTATGTCCTCTCACACAGATGTGCCAAGTACTCAACCTACTGCAACCGACATAGATACACAAATACACATGCATATGAAAATACAGCCCCAT